AGGTACAGATACACAAAATTATTATTTTTTTTATTAAAAAATATAGCATTATAGTGCTATAGTAACAAATGCTATAGCACTATAATAATATTTCCAAATTATAATATTGAATATATTGATAAAAAATTTTATTTACTTTATTCTAAAATAAAATCTCAAACATCAGTTTTAAATGAACATGTTACTGAACCACATAATAAAGGATAATAATGTTTTTTATATATATATTCTTTCTATATAAAATTAACTTCATATGTTTTAGACTCATTTTCTATTAAAACATAAGCGGTAGTTCCTGACTCATCTTCTTTGCTACCCATTTATAATTCTTTAATAAACTTCCTAATTCTTCATAACCTTTACTTCCTTTAAAACTAACTGAATATTTTTTTTGTGATATAGTAAAATGGAAAGAAGGTGTGCGATAAAATAAAGTAACAAATAGTCCTTCCAAAAAAGGCTCCAACCGAATTATCTTGTCTTTAACTGCATTATGACCAAATTGAAGTCATTTTTTTACTTGAATGATAAATGCATTTCTAAATTGTTTAATATCATAATTTGAAGATGCAGTTATAGTATAAATATGGGAAATTATTTTATTGTTTGGATGTTTAGCTTTTTCATGCTTAATAAAAGAACTTTGAGACCAATAAGACAGGGTTGGCAATGGAGTTCAATGGAGCCCAATAAAGTTGTGAATGGAACCAATAGAGCTCTGAATAGAGCCAATGAATACTAATTTTTTGAGCTCCATTCGCACAACTATTGAGCTCCATTGGCTCCATTGCCAACCCTGCAATAAGGGTAATGAAAGTCTTGTAGACAAAGATAGCAAAGATATGATCCCATTATTATTAACCATTAGAAAACAACATGTGATTTGTTTATATATGCATAACACAATTATGCATATAGATCATTTAATGAATTATTACATTGATGGGTCAAATCCACCCATATGAATATAGGCTAACATTCTCATGATTGGTCAATTTTATTCAATTGAATTTATACAGTTTAGAGTACTTTTACAACCCCTGATAGTAAATTTTTTTGTTTTAATAATTAAGAACCGGTTAAACTATTCTCAAAGACTCTTCACAAAGAAAGCTTTAAGTATCTTGTGTATCTCTAAGATCCACCACATCTAAGTATACCTCATTAAGAAATGGATTTCAACCTTGAAAAATGACAATGTGCAGTAATCGTGTGTATTGAAGCTTCTAATCAGCCCTTAAAAAAGGGTACCGACTTTGTTCTAGAATAGGCTCAGCAAAATAAAACTTTACCAGCTTACTTAAAAGTCAACGATGTGATATGCTAGCGGTATTACAATGAAATAGTTGTTCGACCTTTGGCTGTGATGAAAGAACATGCTCAATCTGCAGATATTGAAAACTATCCCGATACAGTGGTCGATACTTAGGAGGATATCTTGGAGGTAATGTCTTTTTCAAATGTAATAAAATTTATGACTAAGGTTTTATATCAGCGTGAAGTTACTCAAAAATTGTTAGCGTTTCGGACATTTGAAGAATTTCGTACCTGCATGGAAGCTAAAGATAGGTGTTTGAAAGCTTTTTTTGATAAACTTGTATTATTAGCAAATTTGTCACAAAAAAAGCGTGAATCATATCCTAAAATTATGTCCCAGTTGCTACTCGTTTGTTATATTCTTTGTGGTATACGTAACAAATTTATTA